CTCAGTATCGGAAAGGTGAGGTGCGAAATGCCTTGGCACAAGAATCTAGTGTGGTGTTTCCTCTTCTACAGCAACTGTTGCAGACAGATTCTCCAGTATTCATCAGCCAGAAGGCACTCAAGTGCTTCTCAAGTTGGGTACAGCTAGATGTGCCCTTGTTGGATTGTGAGTGTTTGATGCAAGCCTCCTTTACATCTCTACACAATGCTGAGCTCTTTGACACAGCTGTTGAAGCCCTTGTCAATGCCATCTCCCAGCCAGATGCCCAAAGGTAGGCAAGTTATAACTTCAAGTCACATTAACATTTATTGTAGATTTGGTTGCATCTGTGGAATGAACAGATACTTTAATATTTCAGGTGCAGTGCTTTGTCAGAACTCTGAATGATCTCACCTAATGTGTTAACTTGTTTTATTCACTGATGCTGACTCTTCATGTTGTTAAATGCTTCTTACATTTTTTTTTTCCCTTTTTTTGACCGACGTCCAGTATTTGAAGTTTGTTTTTGGTCTAGAAACAAGAAATTTTCAAGGCTGTTTGTATGCGTGATATGTAGCTGCTGGAATTTTAAATGTAATGTTGTTGACCTAAATTTATGCACCGTTTGAAATAAAACAGAAAATACTGGAAAGATTTGGCAGATCTGGCAGCATCTATGGGGAGTGATACCAAATTAATATTGAGTCCAATATAACTTTTTTTTTTTTTTCTTCAGACTCTGTATTGAAGACTAGTCATATTGAAACACTGGGTGGGTTTCTCTCCCCTACAGATGCTGTCAGACTTGCTGAGTTTCTCCAGTATTTTCTTCTTTTAATTCATATTTCCAGCATTACTATTTTACTTTTAATTACATGTTGTTGTGTTTTGCTGGAGTAGTAATCTGGGATTTATTCATTCATGAACCTTTTTTATGCAGCAACTCAAGTTGTGGCCCTGTGGCTCCCTGAGGCAGTTGATTTGTTGGATGGTCTGTCACACAGTTATTGATGATTTAATTATAACAAAGCATTCATGCTAAAATTTGCTACTCTGTAGTACATCGTTGATTGGGAAGGTGTGTGTGCAATATGTAGTACTTCGTAATGATTGTGATATGGGTAGCATTTAGAAAAGTTGTTATATAGATTACAATTGTAAAGTGCCCATAAATAAACTTTACTACAAAAGTTATAATTAAGTAATTGGTCAACCCACTGAAATGTTAGCCTTTCCCTTGAAATTGTGCTGTTTTGGACTCTTAAGGGAATGGATAAAAACAGAAATTGCTGGAAACACCCAGCAGGTCAGGCAGCACCTGTGGAGAGAAAGCAGAGTTAACGTTTTGGGTCCACTGATCCTTCAGATGGAAGGATCTGAACAGGTTCTGATGGAGAGTCCTTGGACCCAAAACACAAACTCTGCTTTTTCTCCAAAGATGCTTCCAGACCTGAGTTTCTACGGAAATTTCTGTTTTAGATATCCAGCTTCATCAGTTCTTTTATTTTGGAGGAAAATGGGGATTAGGCTGGAAAGTGGACTTGAGAGTACAGATCAGCCATGATCTTATTAAACAGTGGAGTAGATTGGAGAGGAATGGTGTATTGGCTACTCCTATTTCTTCTTTCGATACCTTGGGGAAAATGGGAAAACATTTTTAGCTAATTTTGAAATAAATTAGAGGGAAATAAGAAATTGAGTTCGTGGGTTGACTGAATTGCTTTTTTGAACAGTGATGTCAAAACTGGGGTGTGGCCAGGACAGCTAGATGGCTGCAAATCTTAGATCTTACATTCCCCTTGTGATATTTTAAAAACATAAGTTAAGCAAAATCGTGCATGAATTTGGTCACTCGCATGCATTTACAATGATGGAGTTTGAGTGCTAAGTGCATTCATTCAAAATGTCAACTTTGGAATATTTGAACATTGTCTTTTTAACTGCATTTTCAAAGAGAAAATAATGTCTGGTGATTTGATTGATATGTCAGTTTTCTGAACTATGTAAAATGCATAATTGGTTCAACAATAGATGATATATTATCTATTTGAAAGAGCAATGCTTTCCAGATTGCCAGTAGTTGAACTACAATTCTCAATGAGATGAAAGAATGGAATGCCTGGTGTAAAAGCTAACTCTAGTCAGAAGTTATTTGGTTACCAGAACAATGTAAGAAATACATAATTGAGCAAAATAAATAATGCAACAAAATCTTTTCAGTCATTTGTGTAAGGATTGGTTAACTCAAACTTTTTTAAAATGGAAAGGATACTGTGGCAATCTTCTTGGTAGTTAAGAATAAATATACTTTTATTTTGTATTTGAGTATAAGATGAAAAGTGTTTGCTTGTCGACTGAAATATGAGGAAACCAACGTTAGAAAGGAAGTAACAGTTCTTGTGGCATGAGAAGAAGGTGCTGATTCGTTGGTATGGAGATGCAGCAGAAACTATTAACTGTCTTCTAGTCAGCCTGTTCAGACTTGTTATTACATGCCCTGGAGTAGATGGGACTTGAATCTGTGCCTTCTGCTCCAGAGATAGGGACACTACACTGTGCCACAAGGGCCCCCTAGTAACTGAAAACAAAAATTACTGGAGATCACAGCGGGTCAGGCAGCATCCATGGAGAGAAAGCAAGCTAACGTATGTCTTAGTTAACAGTTCATATTCAAACTAAGCATGTTAAGTTTGCTTGGTCAGGGCTCTTCCACAGGTATCGAGCATGGATTAGTTGTGTCCGTAAAGCTTTACTTAGTGAAAAATATGCAATGTGTAGACATATTTAAGTTCTCTTACAGTGAAGTAGTTTTATATATAACTTTTTTTTTGGTTACCTGTAATTTAAAATGAAGATGAACAACTTTAATTGTCTCAAAATGATTATCAATGTCTTATGTAACCTTCATAGACCTTTGAGCAATTGGTATTGGAATCTTGTGGAAGTCTGGTCATATTGACTTTGCTGATGTTGTGGAGAGATCTTTGAGTAAGAAAATAAATGTGCACAAGACACAATTTGGGCTAAAGGAAACAGAAGAGGCCTCGAATATAAAGGGATAACAATTGACTAACTCCATCTGATGAAGAGAAATCAGTTAATAGCATACAATATTTTATATTTCATATTTCTTTTCACATTGTCCCCCTCAGTATCAATTTCGGAACTATTGTGTAGCTGCTTCGGTATCCACCTGTGCTCTTTTGACCTCGAGCACACACTGGGAGTTGGAGTCTGAATGTAGGTGGATTTTAAAGAATGTTTCATTATCCTCCACTTTGCAACTAGTCATGTTAGGGTTATCGGAAGGTACTGAGAATTTAATACTTCAAACTATTTTAAAAGCATACACCTTTAATAATGTCTAGTCCACTACTTTTGTGATCAGTTATGCTGAAAGAAAGCAGAAACATCCTAATGTTCTATTATAGAACTGATTGATTTTGTGTTTTTTTGATGTGAAAATACACCTTTGTTATAATATTAATCACACGGGGCTTGGGGGGGATATCATAATTAACAGTTAGAGATAGTAGGAACTGCAGATGCTGGAGAATCCGAGACAACAAGGTGCAGGGCTGGATGAACACAGCAGGCCAAGCAGCATCATAGGAGCAGAGAGGCTGACGTTTCGGGTCTAGACCCTTCATCAGAAATGGGGGAGGGGAAGGGGGTTCTGAAATAAATAGGGAGAGAGTGGGAGGCGGATAGAAGATGGATAGAGGAGAGGATAGGTGGAGAGTTTGTCAAGTTCAGTTAGCTTCCTGAAATTTACTGTGCACTAGAACTCTCATCAAAAAGAATTCAAAAATGCATGGAAAATGTCATTTTTAAAAACAGAAGTCCTGGGAATTAATTGTTGATCACTTCTTATTTGGCTTTATTTAATTTTAGTAGCTAGACTATTTAGATTAATGTGCTACAGCAGAAGAAAATGTATTTTTACAAATTTGTGCAAACACCTAAATTTGAAATAGTATTTAGCTTACTTTGAATTGTACAGTCATGATACAAACTTAGAAGGAAATTACGACTTGAATTTAAATACAGTACTTTCAATCAATGTTTCAGAAACAACTTCAGTTTTCTTACAATTCATTGGGATGGTATCAACCATTCAGTTAAATCATCAGTGTGCTCTCGAACCAAAGTGAACAATGAGAAATATTATAGATTGCTGTAAAATGAAAATATTAATAGAAGGTTACCATCAAAGTTTTACACAATTTAAACACTTGAAACCGTGAGGTGCCGTTTTATGAGAGCTGGGGAAGCATATTACAATGTTGAATGAGACAGTAAGAGCTGCCGATGCTGGAGTCTGAGATAACGGTGTGGAGCTGGAGGAACACAGCAGGCCAGGCAGCATCAGAGGAACAGGAAACCTGACTTTTCAGGTCGGAACCCTTCAGAAACTTTCTGAAGTAGGGTCCCAACCTGAAACGTCTCTTTTTCTGCTCCTCTGATGTTGCCTGGCCTGCTGTGTTCCTCCAGCTCCACACTGTGTTGTTACAATGTTGAATATTGCTTTGGGGCATTTTAACACAATCTCAATGTGAGAATTGACTGTGGAGTGAAACTTTTTATAGTGATGGGTATATTGCACAGTTTAAAATTATGCTGAAATTGTCAGTTCTTATATCTGCTTATACTTTTAATTGGATTATTTTAAATTTGCTGTGATTTATTCCATGAGGTCCCTTTTTTAACATAAATTGTTCTGAATAATTTGTTATTCTTTAGCTAGAGTTGGACCCTATTTTATTAGATTTATTACATTACTTCCATCTGTATCAAGAAATGTTTTGCATATATTAGAATTTTTCGAGAAAATTTCAAGGTTTTGTGGTTCACCACAGGGAATGTAGCAAGGCAAGGGGACAACTGTTCCTTCTGGCATCAGGAATACTTGCCCGTGGTCATCGGCCAAAATAAGTGGTTCAGGCAGATGATTGTTAACACAGCATAGATTCAGCCCCCAGAATAAGACATATTAACAAGGGTAGCTGGGACGTATGAGGGAGAACAAGAAGATCCAGGAGAATGATCCAGCACCTTAGGAATAGACCAGGAGTTCCCCTGCATCAGCTTGAGGGAAGAACCCTCAAGGTTGTCACTGAAGAGACTGTGAAATACCATGTTTGGCCCAAAAAGAAAAATAGGTGTCTACCGCCTCTGCTTCTCCATTCTACAGAACAACTCTTTATTGATTCAGTGTTTTCATCTATGATGGGTTGCATATTTCCTTTCTTGCCCAACTAAATAATGTGTCAATCCTAAACTGCTGCTGCT